AAACTTAAGAAATCACAAGAATGGAATATGCAGGAATTGTGTGACACCATAAAAGACCAAACTTATGAATCATAGGCACATAGGAAGGAGAAGAATCCCAAGATAATGGCATGGACCAGATCTTCAACAAAATTGTGGAAGAAGCTTTCCCAAAATTAAAGAAAGACATGCCCATACAAATACAAGAAGGACATAGAGCACCAAATAGACAAGACCAGAAAAGCAACTCCATGGCACATCATAGTAAAAAGACTAAACGTACGAAACAAAGAGACAATACTGAAAGCTGCAAAAGAGAAACAACAAGCCACATAAAAAGGAAAACGCATTAGGATTACAGCTGACATTTCAGTGAAAAAGATGAAAGCCAGAAGAGCCTGGACCAAAGTATTCCCAGTTTTAAATGACCACAGATGACAACCCAGACTTCTATACCCAGCCAAAATATCTATTATAGTAGAAGGGTAAAGACAAATCTTCCATGACATAAATAGGGTCAAAGGATTCATGTCAATAAAACCAGCCCTTCAGAGAGTTCTAGAAGCAATACAAAGAGCTGAAGAAAGGAATGACTATACCCAAGGAGTTGCACAAAGAAATTCAATGAAGATATAACCATGGAAAAGTACAGCTACATCACGAATGTAAATAAATATAAAAATGACAGGATTTAATACTCATCTTTCATTAATAACTTTAAATATTAATGGACTGAAATCCCCATTCACAGACTATGTGAATGGGTTAAGAAACAAAACCCATCTTTTTGTTGTCTGCAAAAAACCCATCTCACTTTCAAGGACAAACACAATCTCAAAGTGAAAGGATGGAAAAAAATATATATAGCAAATGGCACTAAGAAAAAAGCAGGCGTAGCAATCCTAATATCTGACAAAGTAGACTTTAAACTGAAACTAACCAGAAAAGACAAAGAGGGCTATTTCATTTTGAGATCTTCTGATCAAAGGAACAATAAATCAAGAAGATATTACAATCATGAACATATATTCACCAAACTCTGGTGCACCCAACTTCATAAAAACTATACTATAGGACTTTAAGACCCAGATTAATTCCAACTCATTAATAGTAGGGGACTTCAATATCCCACTGTCTCCAGTAGATAGGTGAACAGTGCAGAGAGTTAACAGAGAGACATCTGATTTAAACAATTTCATATATTAAATGGACTTAACAGACATCTACCAAGTATTCCACCAAAGCACCAAAGGACATAATTTCTACTCAGCACCCCATAGAACCTTCTCCAAAATCGACCATATACTGGGGCACAAAATGAACCTCAACAAATACAAAAAAATTGAAATAATTCTATGTATTTTATTGAACCACAACACAATAAAGCTTAAACCCATT